TGACTAACAGATAAACGAAACATGGTATATACGGACAGCAGAATATTATTCAGCCATAAAAAAGAAGGAAATCCTGTCACATACTACAACATGGAGGAGCCTTAAGGACACGATGCTGAGTGAAATAAGTCAGACACAGAAGGACAAATACTGCTTGATTCTACTTACATGAGGCATCTAAAGGAGTCGAACTCTTAGAAACAAAAGTAGCATGGTGGTTCCAGAGGCAGAGGGGAGAGGGTAAAGGGGAGGTGTTATTCAACGGATACAGAGTTTCAGGTCTGCAAGATGAAAACGTTCTAGAAATCTGTTGCAAGACACTAAATATAGGAAACACTACTGACCGTACATTTTAAAATGGTTAAGATGGTAAATTTTATGTTATGTTTTTACCACAATAAAAAAAAAGCAATGATGCAAGGTGAGTTAAGTTCTGAAGATCTAATGTATAACACTGTGACCACAGCTAACAATACTGTATGTGTTTTTCAAATTTGCTAAGAGGATGGGGCTTCCCTGGTGGCGCAGTGGTTGAGAGTCCGCCTGCCGATGCAGGGGACGCGGGTTCGTGCCCCGGTCCGGCGGGATCCCACATGCCGCGGAGCGGCTGGGCCCGTGAGCCATGGCCGCTGAGCCTGCGCGTCCGGAGCCTGTTGCTCCGCAACGGGAGAGGCCACAACAGTGAGAGGCCCACATACCGAAAAAAAAAATTTGCTAAGAGGGTAGACCTTAAGTGTCCTCACCACTAAAAAAAAAATAATAATTTTAATTTTAAAAAAGATGGTAACTACGTGAGGTGATGGATATGTTAAATAGCTTGATTGTGGTGATTCTTTCATAATGTATATCAAAATCATCAAGTTGTACACCTTAAACACATACAATGTTTAATTGTCAATTATACCTCAATTAAGCAGGGGGAGCAATGAAGTACTGACATATGCTAGAACAGATGAACCTCAAAAACATTATGCCGACGGAAGTAAACCAATACACAAAAAGACAAATGTTATATGATTCCACGTCTATGAAATACCTAGAATAGAAAATTACAGAGACATAAAGTAGATGAAAGGTTACCAGGTGTGGGGGCGGGGGGGCAGGAGGGAATGGGGACTTATTGTTTAATGGGTACAGAATTTCTGTTGGGGTGATAGAAAATGTTTGGAAATAGATAATGGTGATGGTCACACAACACTGTACTCAATGTCATTGAATTATACACTTAAAAATGGTTAAATGGCAAATTTTATTATGTTACACCTATTTTACCACAATTTTTTAGAAGTCTGCATTTAGAAAAATATTTTATTTACAAAAATAGGGGCTGGCTGACCCCTGATCCAGAGTTTTCTGTAAAATGTGTTCTTCAATCTAACACTCTCCCAACTGTAACATGTGTTCTATAACATGTGTGTGTTATGACTCCAGAATTATCCCCGTGTCACAGATTCGAGGTGGGAAGCTCTGTGGTCCTCGTCATTGGTCTGTGCCATTTCCTCATAGGTACATACTTATACACATGTGGAACATGGAGAAAGGCAAATTTATGTTGGGTTGTGTGACCTTAAAAAGCCTCCAAACTATGTCATTTACACTCTGCTGTGTACCTAAGAGGGACTGTCTGATACAGTATGAAGACTTATGGGTTGGGAGACGTGTCACCATTCACTTCCTGGCCCTCAGATGCATCATTTCTGCTCTCTGGGACTCAGTTTGATCAGACGATTCTCATTTGCTGGTTACATGATATCCTGCACCAGAGAAGCACATAGCCTCCAAGGGAGCCCGCGTGAGAGGGCATCCCAGCATCCCAAGCATGGCTGCCACCATCCTTAGGAATATTTTTATCCAGAAGAATAAACATCCTAGTAGAAGGAGACATGAAACGCGAAGCTTGAAGTCATAATTCAATGTATAAGAACCCGCAAAGCGGTGCAGGTTTATTAGATGGCTAATAAAAATAAATCATGGTCATGTTTTTAAAATGACTTCTCATGTGTTGTGGTTACTTCTCGGCATACTGTAAATTAGCTGTGAAGGGCTACTTCCTGCCGGGATTTTTTTTGTCCCTCAAATATAAAGGGTTATAAGGCTAAAGAATGCAGACACGCATCATGTCTGCAGAAATCGTAAAAAAAGATCAAATGTAATATTTTCTTTCAACATGGACAATGGCTTTGAGATTTTCCATTCAGGCAGCCTTGAACACAGCCTCCAGCATTTGCCAATTACTCCTGACAAATACCATTTGGGCCTGAGTGATGTTGTAAGTGAAATAAAACAGTGGGAGGAAAAAAACCAGAGCATGATAAAAGGCATTTTTTTTTGGTCTGCTGAGAACTTACTGTAAGTTATACATTCACAGGGGAAGGCCTCGCTTCCTGCCAGTGACAGGCCCCATGTGATCGAGAGTTCTAAGGTGACTTTTGTTTGACAGTAATAGGAAGAGAAGACAAAACTCAGTTTTCGTGTCCCTTAAAAGGGAGTCAGCTCTTTTTTTCCCCTCACGAAGAAAAATATGTCTATAAACAAAGGAAAGGACACCAGGCACTGCCCCCACCCCATTCTGCACAATGTGAGCTAATGGGTGAGAACAATGCCGTGAAATCAACCTGGCCAGAATGCCCTGGGCTGCCAGCACCTCCGACTGGCTGGGATCTGAGCTTGGGGCATGTCAGAACCTGCAGGGAACCCAGGCCACAAGAAAGAAAAGGCACAGCCAGCACTCAGAGTGAAGCTGTCTGATCCTTCCCACGGCCCATCTCTCCCGAAATCTCCTCCGCTTCTGCGGTCTTTCTGTCCCAGAACCCATGGGTGGCCTCAGATAAGCGAAGACCAAATCCATCCCCCCCACCACCACTGCCTCATTCTTCAAGGCTCCAAGGAAACTCATCCCTACACTCAACCTTAGTGCTGGAGGGAGTCAGAAAGCAGCTCATGGAAATGACCAGAAAGAAGCTGTAGGTGTATGAAGGCTCCTTTATACTCCTAAGTTAACACCATGGCCGGGTCTGAAAGCCCCTGGACTCTTCCACTCGAGGCCCACCAGCCCCCATGAATTTGCAGTGGCTCAGGGAATTCAGAACCACACCGCTGCACAGGGATCTATTTTTTTCCCCGTGAATGTGAACCTCAGAAATGGATGTTAGGAAGACTGGGGTTCCACAGCTGACTGCCCAGCAGCCGCAGCAAGGGGTGGGGGCAAGGAGCTGGGTGGCTTCCGTCAGGCCACCTCCCCTGGCACTTCCGAGGAATTTGGGAACAGCCGTCCCCCAAAGTCAAAGGGGCAAAACTATGATAATCGCCAAGGATCTGGCCACGTGGATCCTCCCAGCAGAGCTCCAGGGCCCCGCGAACAGCGCCCTCATGTCAAGGATGGGCGTCCCCCACCTGTGCCAGATGGCTTGCTGATGGTCCAACCGACTGGTCCAGGAGACTGGGAATTCTCTACCACAATGGCTTGGACCCCAGAGCCAGTCACACTTCTGCGGGACTGCTTCTCTAGCTCCCAGTAGGTTCAGGGCAGGGCCTGAGACTCTGCTTTTCTCACAAGCTCCTGGTACTGTTGATTCTGTTGGTCTCCAGACCAGCTTTTAAGGAGCAGGGTTCTAGGGCCAGCCACCCCCATAAAAGATGCTGACAGTGCTTCGTTAGCTTTCTGAGGGACATTTTCAGTGGCAGTGGCCTCCCCCGTAGACTCCTGCCACCAGCAAACTATAAAAGAAAGATGATGAATTCTAACAGCTGCTCACTGCCAAGATTTTGCTCCTACGGGTATCAGAAACACTGCCTTGTAAATAGACAGAATATTTCCTTTTTCATAAAATTTCTGCTGATGGCTGTGTCCATGTGTGCCACGGCTCCCAACCTGGGCTACGGTGTGGTCCCCTGGCCTGAATACTGAACCACAACAATCACAAAGAGCTCATTATCCCAACATGAATACTCTGAAGCAGGATCTGTTTCCCAAACAGCCAGCCACCACCAGTAAGGCAACTCCAATCAGAGAAACTGTCATCTGTAGTTTACTCCTCCAAGTAAGGGGAAAAACTTCAATACCATAGTAAGGGCCTCATCCAGGTCTTGCTACCACGCTCTAGATGAAATGCCCAAGAGAAAACAAACACCCACTTAAGACAAGGCTGGGATGTGTATAAATAGCAAGAGGTGTGGAAGGGGAAAAGAGTGAGAAGGGAGAAACCGTGATCAGAGCTCCCCTATCTGCAAGTCGAATTCATCTTGATGGAAGGACAGATCACAGAGGCACTGGGAAAGTCCAGCGGACCAAAGAGATCGTTTCAAAGGAGCCCACCCCCACCCCCACCCCCCCGCCACTGTGCAGTCACTAGGTGATGTGTGCTGGGTCACGTCACTGCCCCAGTCATGTGGGATCTGGAGCCTGTCAGTCACCTGTAGACAGAGCAGTCGAAGGACACCCTGGTGTCGTTTTCACTCTACTTTGAAGCTCTGTCCTCAGATCAAACGCACGCCTCTAACAACAGACAGGCAGCCCTCCCGTTGCTTGGGAAGAAGTGGCTCCTTTCCAGCTCTCCACCAAATGGACCACTTTCTAATTCTAGAAGCCTCTGGCAGAAGAGGGGTCACAAGAGTAGCCCCCCTTTCTTTGTGTGGGTGGTCAGTTTAAACTCCAAAGCGACCCTTGCTCTTTTTGCTTGTAAGTCAGGACCTGTCTCCCTGCTCCCAGTGATAGAAATTAAATAGAATAGAAGAAATTAAAAGCTGCTAGCCGGTGTGAAAAATGAATTAAAACCTGCTACCTGGTGTGAAAACTTCTGGCCAGGTCCCTTCTCTGTCAGCCATCACCTTGAACTATTATTTATCGGTCTGCGTTTCTCACTCAAGGAGATCCAACGGCCCACAAGAGAATATGAAGTCTGCATTTTATCCCAGTAGCAACACATAGAGTTCTTGTTTGCCTTGTCTGGGTCCTAACATCTGAAAAAAAAAAAATGACACTCCCTGTTGCCTGATTTTGACGGTAGCCTCAAGGACCTCAGTATGCATCCTCAGCCCAGCGGTCTTCTTGTGCCATCCAGTGTTCAAAGATGGAAGTGTCTCAAGCTCACTGCAGAGTCCCACAGATTCAGAGATCCATTTCTTATTTTTCAGGCATCAACCATAACACTTGGGACACTCACAGGTGTCTTGTGAAAAGAACTAAAAAGTACTGAGCCCCTGCTGTGGTCTGGCCACTTATATTTCATTGTCCTGGCTGAAATGAATGTTAAAGCACTTGTACTTTGGATTAATCTGTACTCAGCAGGGATTGGTACTATTTTAGAAATTATTTAGGCAGCATAAACTCGTTCAGTGGAACAGCAACTGGCATTCTCTCTCCTGTCTCCCAAAACTATTGTAACTGTAGGCTTGAAAATCCAGAATGTTCCAGCTGGGAGAAGTTAAAGGAGCTTGTTCCTATAGCCCAGAGACTCAGAAAGGAAACTCTGGTGAAGAGCAAAGTCACGTGGGAGCTTTAGGACCCCCAGGATGTTGGCACACCCCAGACCAATTAAATCAGATCCTCGGGATGGGACTCCGGCCTCTGCAGTTTTTAAAGCTCTGCATGTGAGAGGGAGGTGACATCAGCAAGGTGGAGGGCTAGGAGGTCCCAATGTTCACCTCCTCACAAAGACAGTGCACAACTGTAAACCAACAGAAACAGCTCAGGGAAAGCTCTGGAATCCAATGAGGAAGCATCAAAAATCCTGCAGAGCTCAAAAACCGAGGATGGCCATGTAAAAAAGTACAGGAAGCATTTTACCTGTGTTACCCCAGCCTCAAGCCAAGAGCGTCTGAGTGCCAGGGAGATCACCCCCAGAGGAATTCCACCTCCTGGAGAAAAGGAAAGCAGAAGCTCCAGCAAGCCTCACCACTGTGCACGTCTGCAGCCTTTGCTACTGAGGTCTCCCCCGGTCTACACCAACGCTGATCCCAGCTGACGGAGCTGCCCCGAGTGCCCACCACCATGTCCCCTCCCTAGGGCTGGAGCTGTCACCGTCCGCAGAGGCCCCAGGCACTGCCGCGCCCCACTCTCTGGGATCAGGACCTCACAGCGCATCATCATATACGTGATGGGAGCCACGGCTGCCCGGAGCCCTGCTCTCAGTCTCAGGTCACAGCTTTGTGCCACCATTGCCAGGGCAGCCTCTGCTGCCCTGAGCCCCACCCTCTGGGTCCCAGGTCACACTCTGACCATTACCAGTACCACACTGTTACTGCCCTGAGCCCCACACCCAGCTCCCAGGTCTTGGCTCTGAATCATCACTGATGGGGCTGCCCTGAGCCCCAACCCCACGACTCAGGCCACCACTCGGAACCATCATTGCCAAAACACACTATCAGTGCTCCCAGCCCTGCCCCTCGGTCCCAGGTCAAAGCTCTGAACTGTCATTGCCAGAGGCACTGCCACTGCCCTGAGCCCTGATCCTAACACAAGGTTTTAACAAGCCACCACCAGGTAGGTGCTACTACCGTCCTACAACTGCCCCCTGGGGTCAAAGGTGGGACTTCAACCCACCATCTGCAGGCTGTACTGCTACTGCCCCCTGCCCCCTGGGGCCGAGGACCAAGCCATTGCTGCACCTTGTCACCCCAGGGTCTGTGCCACTGCTGTATCACCACCCCCCGCCAGCCAGAGTCACTGTGGTGAGACCCAGAGACCCAGACCTTGGTTCCACAGGCCATCTGTACATGCTCACACCTTAGACACAAGTGATGCTGCCTCAGCAAGTGGTCCCAGGACTCCAGCTCCACTTCTACTGTTTGTCAGCACAACAGACCACAGCCAAGAGGGAAACCATTGGCTAGAACTTGCTCCCATGGGAAAAGCAGAAGACCCCAGCAACCTTCACCTCCGAAGTACCCAAAAGCCTTGTTGCCACTCCTACCCATAGGACCTTGGCAGTCTTGGCCACAGAATATTCCAGCAGTCTGCACCTACAATGACCTCAGCTGACAGAGTCGCATGGAGACTATGCTGCTGTGCCTTCCAAGAATGAAAGACACTGTATCCCACCAGGCTAGTACCCTTGCAACCACATTTAGGTGAAAGTCTTTTCCCACTGAAGCCAGTCCAAAAAGTGAACGCATCCTCAAATGCACAGACATCAATGCAAAGCCATCAGAAATATGAAAAAGCAAAAAAATATATATATATATATGAAAAAGCAAGGAAACATGACACCATCAAAGGAACATAATGATTTTCCAGTAACCAATCCCAAAGAAATGGAGATCTGCGAGTTACCAAAAAAAGAATTCAAAATAATTATTTTAGGGCTTCCCTGGTGGTGCAGTGGTTGAGAGTCCGCCTGCCGATGCAGGGGACACAGGTTCGTGCCCCAGTCCAGGAAGATCCCACATGCCACGGAGCGGCTGGGCCTGTGAGCCATGGCCACTGAGCCTGCGCATCCGGAGCCTGTGCTCCGCAACGGGAGAGGCCACAGCAGTGAGAGGCCCACATACCGCCAAAAATAAATAAATAAATAATTATTATTTTAGGAAGTTCAGCAGGATTTAGGAGAACACAACTTAACGAATTCAGGAAAACAATAAATGAAAAAAATAAGTTCAACAGACAGAAATCATTTTTAAAAAGAACCAAACAAACTCTGAAGCTGAAGACCACAATGAATGGAATGAAGAAATGCAATAGAGAGCTGTTGAAGTTCTCAGGCAGAATAAAGAATCTGTGAACTGGGACTTTCCTGGTGGCGCAGTGGTTAAGAATCCACCTGCCAATGCAGGGGACATGGGTTCGATCCCTGATCCAGGAAGACCCCACATGGCACGGAGCAACTAAGCCCATGCGCCACAAGTACTGAGCCTGCACTCTAGAGCCCACAAGCCACAACTACTGAGCCTGCATGCTGCAACTACTGAAGCCCACAAGCCTAGAGCCCGTGCTCCGCAACAAGAGAAGCCACCGCAGTGAGAAGCCCGCGCACAGCAACGAAGAGTAGCCCCCGCTCTCCGCAACCCGAGAAAGCCCATGCACAGCAACAAAGACCCAATGCAGCCAAAGATAAAATTTTAAAAAGTGAAAAAAAAAAAAGAATCTGTGAACTCCAAGGCAGATTTGCTGATATTATCCAGACAGAGGAGAAAAAAATTAGATTGAAAAAGACTGAAGAAAACTTATGTGAATTATGGGATACTATCAAACAAAACAAAACAAAACAAAAGAAGAGAGAAAGAAAAGGACAGAAACATATTTAAAGAAATCATAGCTGAAAAATTCCTAAATCTGGGGAGAGACATGGCCATCCAGGTACATAAAACCCAAAGGTCCCCAAATAGATATAACCCAAAGAGATATTCACCAAGATACATTATAATTAACCTCTCAAAAATCAAAGACAAAGAGAGAAATTTTAAAACAGAAAGAGAAAAGGGACTCATCACATACAAGGGAATCCCAATAAGGCTATCAGCAAATTTCTCAGCAGAAACCGTGCAGGCCAGAAGAGGGGATGACACATTCAAAATGCTCAAGGAAATAAACTATTCACCAAGAATACTTTATCTAGCATAACTGTACTTCATTAGTGAAGGAGAAATAAAGACTTTCCCAGAAAAACAAAAGCTGAGGGAATTTATCAGCACTAGACCTGCCTTACAAGAAATGCTAAGGGGAGTTCTTCAAGCTGAAACAAAAAGACACTAATTAGTAACATGAAAACATGGAAGTATCAACTTTACTGGTAAAGGTATAGTAGAATTCAAAATACCCTAATACTGTAATGGTGGTGTGTAAGTCAGTTTGAACTCTAGCATATAGGCTAAGAGACAAAAGTCTTAAAAATAATTATAGCTACAATATTTTGTTAATGGACACATAATATAAAAAGTTGTAAATTGGGACAACAACAATATAAGTTGAGGGTGGGAGCAAGTAAATGTGTGGAACACTTTTATGCAACTGAAGTTAAGTTATAAGCTTAACAGTTATAACAACAAGATGTATTATGAAAGCCTCATGGTAACCACAAAGCAAAAACTATCTGCTGTATAGATACATAAATGATAAAGAAAAAAAGAATCAAAGCATACCACTATAAAAAAAATCAACTCACAAAGAAAGACAGCAAAAAAGGAAGAGAGGAACAAAGAAACTACAAAACAGAAAGAAATTAATGAAATAGCAATGGTTAGTCTTTGCCTATCAATAACTACTCTAAATGCAAATGGTTTAAATTTTCTATTTAAAAGGCAAAAAGTAACTGAATGGATAAAAAAACAAAACCCAACTATATATACTGCTTAGAAAAGAGTCATGTAAGCTTTAAAGACACAGGCTGAAAGTGAAGATATTTTATGTAAATGGAAACCAAGAGAGCTGAGACAGCTATACTTATATCACACAATATAGACTTTAAGTCAAACATTGTAACAAAAGACAAAGAAGGTCATTATATTGTTATAATGATAAAGGGGTTAATTAATCAAGAGGCTATAACAATTGTAAACATATATGCACCCAGTATTGAAGCACCTAAATATATTAAACAATTATTAATAAAGCTGAAGGCAAAAAATAGATAGCAATGCAATAATCGTGGGTGATTTCAATACCTCACCTTAAACAATGGGTAGATCATCCAGAGAGAATCAATTTTAAAGATGGACTTGAAAGACACTTTCAATCAAATAGACCTAATAGACATGTAAAGAACGTTCCATCCAACATTCATCTCTAGCACACATGAAACATTCTCCAGGGTAAATCATGTTAGGTCACAAAACAAGTCTTAATAAATTTAAGCAGACTGAAATCATATTGAGTATCTTTTCCAACCACAATGGTATGAGACTAGAAATCAGTAACGAGGAAAGCTGGAAACTTCACAAATACGTGGAAATTAAACAACACACTTCTGAACAACCAACAGGTCAAAGAAGGAATAAAAACATATCTAGAGACAAACAATAATAGAAACACAGCATACAAAAACTTATGCGATGCAGCAAAAGTGGTTCTAAGAGGGAAGTTTATAGCAATGAATGCCTACATTAAGAAAAAAGATCTCAAATAAACAACCTAACCTTACTCCTGAAGGAACTAGAAAAGGAAAAATAAACTAAGCCCAAAGTTAGCATAAGGAATGAAATAAAAATTAGAATATAAATAAAGGAAATAGAGATGAGAAAGACAATAGAAAAAGATCAACAAAAGTTGGTTTTCTGAAAAGATAAACAAAATTGACAAGCCTTTAGCTAGACTAAGAAAAAAAAAAGAGACTACTCAAATTAATAAAATTATAAATGAAAGAAGAGACATTATAACTGATACCACAGAAATTCAAAGGATCATAAGAGACTACCATGAACAACTATATGCTAATGAATTAATTTAGAAGAAATGGATAATTTCCTAGAAACACACAACTTACCAAGAATGAATCATGAATTAATAGAAAGTATGAACAGACCAATAATGAGTAAGGAGATTAAATGGGTAATCAAAAATCTCCAACAAATAAAAGCCCAGATGACTTCACAGGTGAATCCTACCAAACATTTAAAGAAAAATTAATGCCAATCCTTTTCAAACTCTTCTAAAAGACTGAAGGGGAAGGAAAACTTCCAAACTCATTTTACAAGATCAGCATTACCCAGATACAAAAGCCAGACAAGGACACTACAAGAAAAGAAAATTATAGGTCAATCATCAGAGGTTGAACACAGATGCAAAAATCCTCACCAAGATACTAGCAAACTGAATTCAAGAACACATTGAGGGCTTCCCTGGTGGCGCAGTGGTCGAGAGTGTGCCTGCCGATGCAGGGGACACGGGTTCGTGCCCCGGTCCGGGAAGATCCCACATGCCGCAG